CCAGTTTTTTTGATCATCTTTGTTGCCCTTGTCTGGACCCTCTCCAGCCTGTCCACATCTTTTTTGTATAACAGGGACCAAAACTGAACACAATATTCCAGATCTGGCATGACCAGCACTGAGTAGAGAGTGATAATGACTTCTTTATCTCTGTTGGTGATGCCCTTGTTAATGCAACTCTAGCACCCTGTTGGCTTTCTTTGCAGTAACAGCAGCACTCTGTTCACTCATATTGAGTTCATTGTCCACCAGGACCCCCATGTTCCTTTCCACAGAGGTGCTCCACACCTGGGTAGATCCTGGCTTGTGCTGCACTCCTGGATTGTGTTTTCCTGGCTTATGATAGGGCTTGGTGTGCTGTTTGTGCTTCTCTCTGTTTTTCTCTCTTACTCTGTTTTTTAAGGCGTTAGAGGTAGAATTCTTTGGTTTGAGTATTCAATTGGGTACTCAGCTACTGACTGGATGATTAAGGCATTGCACCTTACTGCTGTGCCTCTGGGCTCTTCCTTGACTTTTCTGTTTGGGGTAGGCCTGTCTCATGCATGTAATAGCTACTGCTATGGGACCTTGGTCTCTGCTCGGGATATTAAATGCTGCTACAATGCAGGCATTAAGACTGCCTGCAGTCAGGCACAGGTAATCTTACACTGAAAACTAGGGAAAAGAATAAATTCAATGCCCTACTGTATTAATTTGCACAGTCGCAGTTTTGGAGATTAGTCTTAAATTATTTTGAATTGCAAATCCAGCTGTACTTTAATTATGATTATGACCTCTACTTTGTGGCACACAGTTCAATCTATGCAACCACAGTCTATGGTAAATTTCAATAATGGTGCTGTAGAAGACGTACCATAACACAGAGCCTTGCCCTATATCTGTAGACAAAGACATGCATGCACATGCACATTTTGACTTGCAACAACCTCCTAATAATGCAGATTTATTCTCCTTTGGTTTTGCTTTTTTGGCTTCGTTTCCCTCCAGATAGGGTGCAAGGACTCAGTGACTTGCAGGAAGAAATCTGTAGAGTATGTTAATTTCTGTGGAACTTAGGCGGCCTCATAAGTCTTAGAGATTAATAAGAATCTGGGAAGTATCTATCTTCTGGTGATGCTTTCATTTGCGCAGTAATAAAGCTCGCCTTTCTTGTTTAATAAAAACAATGAGGAAACAAATGGGTGTGCAGGCATTGGAACTTTTGAGGAATTAATTCAAAAGCACGGACGAAAGTTTTTTATCATGCTGTAAGCACCAGAAAGGTGAAAATTACTCTTCCCTGGAGCTCTTACCCTCTGTGTGCCTTATCTCTAAGTTACACCAAACTTAAGGCAAAATCCTGAGAAGGTGCTGTGTCTCTTCGAAAGCGCTGATCATTATCCTGAAAGGTGATGGGAACGTTTCACTGAGACCACCAGGGGCTTGGGAAAGTTCTGTATGATTCATTTTTTTCCTTTGCTCATTGGAATGATTTCCTGGTTAAACATGCTCTCCTCATCCAAATGAAATTTCTGTGAAAATTTTCAACTTCAGTGACAATTTTATGGGTTTTCTATGTTTTTTTTTTCTTTTTGAAAAAAAAAAAATCTTTTTAGGGTTTGGAGAGATGGCAATCATTTTCCCTGGCTGTTTCCTTTATCCTCCCCCCAAAGAAGGTTCTTGTCAATTTAACTTTTGGTGCACAGACAGGCAATTGACAAAAGCCAGAGCCTTGTAGCAGGCAGGGGGCCAGGGGCTGAACACCCAGCTCCCACCCGGCTCCCACCCTCTCTACAGCTCCAGCTGCCAGGGAGGCACAAACCCAAGCTGCTTAGCATCCCCACATCTCCTGCAACTCTGGCTGCCAGAGAGCTGGAGCAGAGTGAGAACTTGTAAAAGCAATTTTCTTACCCCTCAAAAAAAGAACATTGGAAGTCAGCACAGTTTAATTTCATTTAGGCATCCTGATTTAGAAAAAAAAAAAAGTTTCAAAATTTATTTTCCCTAGATACAAATTTATGCATTTCTTATATTAAAAACGGCTTTGATCACTCAGTCTATAGAGAAGAAGAAGGTGACACAGATCTTCATTCAATACTGCATTGGTTTTATACTAGCCATCTATGGGCTCTGTTCTTAATTTTCGTGCCTTCCAATAGATGTGTTCCCGTGGCTCTTATAAGGACTTTGCACCTCTGACAGCTGGTGATGTGCACTGAGACAGTCCTCTGCCTGTGACCAAGAACTGCCTGAGTTTCTCTGCAGCCACCAGCTCCCAAGTTCAGTTTCAGGATGAATGCAGCTGCCTACAGTGGCCATATGTAGTGCCAGGAATGAAAGGATGGAGCAATTACCTGCCGAGGTTCCTGAGCTTCTTTTGTACTGCTGCAGTGGCATTTGCTGGTCTCAGGAAATGTTCTTATTCTGGGGTTTCTACAGGGGGGATTTCTCTTAGAGAATTCTGATCTATATGAAACCTACTTCGAGCAGTCCGCTATTTTCACCACTTACAACCCACACAGATGGGACTGCCATATACATAAGATTGTTGCTTGATTTTTGCTGCATGCAGACATTGCTATCTTTCTGGTTCAGATAGACTGGACGCTTGGGTTCTGCTTCTCTCAGTGGCAAGTCATTTAAGCTCCCGGTCCCTGAGCTGAAATTTTTCTAAGTGGCAGTAAAAATTCATGTCTATTTTGTTGTGGGAAGTGTCTCAAAAACCTGGGAAAGAAATTCATTAGTGTATTATTCTTCCCTGCAGCAGCTTCATCGAGGCTAGCTCTATTACACGTGGAAAAGACTATCTGATGGCCAAACTTGTCTTGTGAGTTGCTGAGGTTTCTTCTCATTTCTTTGTTTTTGCAGCTGGATCCATACCACCTGCAGCATTTATCCTCTACATAATTCCCATTGTGGCACCTTTAAGGATGCTCCAGCTCAGTCTGGGTGGAGAACACACAGAAGACTTTACACCGGTACAAACACAGTTACAATCAGGAAATGTTATCTTTGCTTCTGTTTTGTAGTTGATATGATGGCATGGGTCTGGGTCAGGGTATTATGTTTGTAAGTATATTACAGTAGATCTGTTTTGGCCCTGACTTTAACCTTCACTTAATAAAAATATGTTCTAGCCACAGGCTATGAGTTCTCATGACTAGTAAAGGTAGGGACCTTTGCAATGCAATAAAACAGGAAGGAAATATTGTGACAGATAGTGCAGCTTCTGCTCTTTCCCATCTTCTTGCACCCTGAAGTGAAACCTTTATTTTAAGGAATAAACAGTATGGAACTTAAATCAGTTTCTCTTTAATCAAGGCCACTTTTTAAATATTCTTAAATAAAATACTACTTAAAAAGGGTAATTTTACATGAAGTGGGAGAGAGATAGTGCAAGAACCTACAGTATATCAGACTGAATTAGTTTTTCATGCTACGAGATGTAAACAAATCTATTTAATTAGAACACCTTGTTCTTTTTGCATCCAGAGTCATTTTTTATAACAGCAGAGAAAAAAAAGTTTTGGCAGCAAATTTCTAGAATATTAGAAAAAAGATCTAAAGTGTGTGTTTCCCTCACTAAAGCTGCCTTTTTTTCCTCTCATTCTTATTGTTCTTTTAATTGGGATCTCTAAGTCAAGCCCCCCATCTCAAAGATGATCCCTGGGACAGGTACCCACATTTCTAGAGATCAGCTTTGATGTGAAACCCTTCCTTTCTACTTCATCAGTGGAAACAACAGATATGTAGTCAAGCGATGGAAAGCCGGTCCCCGAAGTAACTTGATCAGGTCATACATATGAAGACCAGAGCTCCACCCATGGGTTCTCTTGCCTACACCAAGGCGATGAGAGCCCCATGCTTGCTCACCTCTGTGCAATTTGTCAAATTTTCACCATTATTCCACCTGTGTAACCAGAGACATTAATGAATTTCAGCTTTTTGCTACTGTTTTCTCTCCTTTATAAAGTAAAATGAAATCTGGAGCAGCAACAGGAGGAAAAAAAGTGAGGCTATGTGCTCAAGGGCTCTATTCAACCCCATAAACTCTAAGATCATGTTTCTCTTTCCTCTCTAGTAGCCGCACAAGGAGCCCACTTGGCTATACAGGCTCATTAGTCACAACAGAAAGGCAGCACAAGGTCCCACAGTGACAAGCTGCCACCTAAATCTAGGTAATGTGCCGTGCTAAAATGCTGTATTCTGCGTTGCAGCAAGATCTCAGTTCCTTGCTAAGGTGATCTTTCCATTTCTTTCTGAATTCTAGATGTGGATTTACCACCTTTGTGTTCCATCCCTTCCTGGATTTGCATTTTAAAATATATAGTTTCCTGGCCAAACTTATGCAAAGCCTCAAATGGGCAGTAGAAGCACACAAAAGGTATCTGGGGACATTGTCCATAATGCCAGATCTCTAGATCCAGTTACCACATGGAGACTCTCAGGCCGGGTAGGCTGAGCTATTAAACACCAATGTGGATGACGTTCCTCTCCTCTGTACATAGTAACCAGTTCTGTTGTACCAGACTACTGTTAAGGGAAAGATTCCTTAACCATGTTGTGGTGGAAAGGTCTTGTGATAAGGGCTGGGCAAAGAAACAAAAGAGCTGGGCAAAGCTCCTGAAGAACAGGAGCTCCAAAAGAGTGTCCCTGAGCTGCATGAATGGCAGCTGTATGCATGAATGTGGACTATTCCCAATAGCCGCCCAATAAAGATCCCAGAAGCTGCCTTCTATGGCCCTGATTACTTGTGAGCAGCATTAATATTTTTCAAAAGGGGAGATGATAATTCCAAATTCAGACAAGAATTCATGATGTGGCATCTCACCTTGGTAAAGTGCAATCAAACCAGACCAGACCAGTGAAAGGATATTTTGCACCGGAAATGTACAGGGCTACAGAAACTGGCTTGTCATTTTAATCACATCCCTCAAGTCCTTCTTGTACCCTGTATTTTCATACAAAGCATGCAATTTTTCCCAGTCCTCCCCTCCCACATGAAGACCATCCAAACTTACCCACTACAGAAGAGCCTGAAGAAAATAAGTGATCTGACCAAGTGTCTGTATGGGGATGCACGGTGCAGTCAAGGAAGTACATCTTCATCCCATAATGCAGTTCTGATTTTTTCCTAGTACACTAGACAGTCAAGCTACAATCTGATGCCAGAACTCTGTGGAAGTAGATTAAATAGCAGTTTAGTAATCAGGAGATTTGAATATTGTTCCTATCCTGGCCAGAGACCTGCCGTGCCTCCTGGAACAAATCTCTTCTCTGCATTTCTTTTTTCTCCTCCCACCTTTCCTTTACCCTGCCCATTTACATGACCAGCTCTTCAAGGCAATCTGTTTCGTTCCATACTGATCACCAACAGACCCCAGTCTCATCTGAGCTGTCTAGACACAATCGTTGCCGAAATAATAATAATCACGCTGAATGCAAAATGCCAATATTTTTGTACCAATGTGACACCTGTTTTGTATTCCTCTGGCTTTGTCCCCTACATTAGTGATGCTTAGAGGCAAAACAAAAAGCTTATCATTTTACCACGGTTAAATGTTATTAACGACTTCTAAACAATTGTCAGCAAACTTAAGTGCTTGTGTAAGTGAGGGATTAATAGTGCCAACCTAAAATATATCTCAGGTGCTGGCACACCACTTGTGGGCAAACTGTCAGTGACGCCTGGCCTCAAAAGTCTCCATCTGGAAAAGCAGCCAAGCAGCACACAATGACACTCTTGTCTGTGCCATCCTTCCTGCTCCCATCCAGGGCCCACAGCTCACTTTGTCAGTCCTCCAGTCTACTGTCTGTAATACAGCCTGCTCTCCTTCCCCATTCCTATCCCACTAATATTTTTCCCCTGGTTGCCTCATACACCTCCCATAATATGCTGTCCACATCTTGTCTAGCACCTGCCCTTTTTTTCTCCTGTCTCCTCCATCAGATACATTTTCCAGGGAACACAACTACAGCACTGTGCTTGTGCATCAAGGACAGAAGAGACTTACAGAATCAGTATGACAACACTCAAACAACACATTATGCCCAACAGCAGTCCTGGTAGAAATAGAAACCAGTGTGGGCTTATGGTGTAATCTGGGGCCTGAACAACACTATTATTAAAGTGACCCAGCATAATAAGGCAAGAAAAGTCATGTCCCTGTATTAGATTCTTCCCATTTGTGTGCCCTTTCCAAGATCTGGAAAGGTAAATAAGTGTTGTTACATCCATTTCACAGGTCTCTACCTGTGAAACTTCGATGTAGAAATGTTGAGCTATTTTGTCCAGATTTATAAAAGATTAATTCAGGTATTTCTGTATCATGATCGCTGGTCTTTATTTCCTTTCTCTCTGTCATTGCTCATCTGTCAATTTTCATTAATTCCCTGGAGGTAAGATATTTTGTGAGAAAAAAGCTTGGTGTTTTTACTGGATGCATGAGAAATATCATTTAATCAGATGATTTTCAAAACAAATCCCAAATGCTTTCCAGAAACTTATTACCTTCCCTATGGTCTTACTTCTGAGTATCTACCTCAGAAAAAGCACTGATTTGCTCTTCTCTTAGGTATCTCCAGCCCCTGCCCCACACTTCCCCTTCTGCTTGGACCACATGCCTGAAACCTTTTTATTGTCCCTTAACTATATACACACACAAACAGTGAAGTCACTTCTGCGTTACCTCCAAGGAAGAAAATTTCCTTTCTTATAAGCACAGCAAGAAAGAAAAGCCAAATCTGAACAGAAACAATGGCCTTTTCATACTGCGATGTGCAAAATACTTTCCTAAGGCTGGTATCAACTCCCTCCATTTAAGTGAAGCTCATTTGCAGGCACTCATCTATTCACAGTGGATGGGCAGTGAGCAGAGTCAGGGCTCCCTATCATCAAGATGAATAGACAGATGGCAGGGACAAAAATGGTCACATTTGGTCCGAGCCAGGGGTGCCATTTTTAAGGTCAGGCCTTCATCTTGTAGTGGCCAGGAGGAGGCCAGTGATGGTGATGATGATGACAGTGCATTTGGAATGATACTGCTATTTGTTTATCATGGCTTTTGCGCAGGAGGTACCAATTTTAGCAAACACAGGAGGAAAGCAATTGAGTTAGCCCTGCAGCAGCATCTGAGGATCTTCTTATCTGCATGGATGACTCTCTTTTTACCCACTGCACATCAGATTTTAGATACTGAAACAAAAGCTGTTTTCTCTCCTGGGGAAACAAAGAGTACTTTTAAGACATCACTGAATTTCCTTCCACCTCTTGTTGGAAAGAAGAACAACTTCTAACTCCATCAGAGATTTACTTGTAAGTTTGAGCCACGTATTAATCAGAATGACTGGATCCTTCCCTGACACTTATCCAAGTGTCATGGATCTTTCATGGAAATGGATTTATTTGGAAGTTTGGAAAACACCACTATCCTCAGATGACTGGACTTCGTTTCCTTGGTTAAACTGCACACATCACAAAAATGGCCTCCGCTGCCTTCTTTCCCAGTTTCAGCCCTGTTCAGACTAATGCTAAGTCACTAACACATTCTTCAGGTAGTGAAAGTTAATGCAGATTGTCAAAACACGGACATAATATGTTGGTTTACCTTGCATTGAGACTCTGAGTATAACCAAGCTCTAAACATCTCCAGCAAGTGCAAAGCCCAGAACATAATTAGATTTCACTTTATCAATGACCCTAGAACAGGATATTTGTGTTCAGTGCATTTCCCTCATTAATTGGAGACTAAAACTTGACTTGAAGAAGAAAAAAAAATATTTATTTTCAATTTGTAGATGTACTCTAAATATGAAATTAAAAGCAGATAGCTGTGCAATCTTGTGAGAATAAATGAGGAGGAATGCTGATTAAAAAAAAAAGAGAAAAAACATTTTTCTCGCAGCTATGTTTCACATATGACCTCTTCAGAATGTGATTAAGAAATAAAAACAAGCAAAAAACCCCTTCTTCTGGTATATGTGATGTACTTTTACTCATAAATAAAGAGTAATTTGGATTAGTGCCATATTAGCCCATTGCAAAATACAATTCTGTGTGTGTGTGTTTGGTTTTGGATATCAGAAGTCAAATTCAGCAATCTGATGTCAGAAAAAGGGCCCATCTCCAGAATGGGAAGTAAATCAAGTTGTTGTGGTTCTGATGTGATCATTGTTCTACAGTTTTCTTATAGGTTCCTATATTTTTAGGAAAAACTCTTACACTGAAAGGGTTATTAAACATTGGAATGGGCTGCCCAGGGAAGCGGTTGAGGCACCATCCCTGGAGGTGTTGAAAAGACAGGTTGACATAATGCTTAGTGACATGGTTTAGTGATGTGTTTTTTTGGTTTTTGATTTGGTTTTTTTGTTGTTGGTTTTTTTGTTCGGTTGTTGGTTTTGTTGGTTTTGTTTTTGATTTTGCTTTTGCTTTTGTTTTTCTTTTAATAGCAGAGTTAGGTTGATGGTTGAACTAGATGATCTTAAAGGTCCCTTCCAACCTAGACAATTCTATGATTCTATAGTAGCATAGAATTTGAGACTTGAAAGAACCAAAAAGTTGTGTCACCTCTTATACTTTATAACACAGGGTAAAGAAGGGAAAATAAAACATACTGCCTCTACCTTATTGTCTGCATATCCACACCAATGACTTGTTTGACTGGACAGGTGTCTACAGTCTGTCTGTCATGACCAAAAGAGGAACCAGGAACATCAGCCTGTGCAGATAATACTTGACCTCTTAGTATTCCAAGGCTCATTTCTGAAGTAAGGGGAATAAAAGGAAGAACACTCTTGTTGTGCCTTATAGATGATCTGGGATTAATTTCCTAGCTCTTCTCCAGACACAAAACATAAACAGGAGAGCAGACTGAGTCCGTCTCTGCCTCCTCCACATCGAGCAGAGAAATACAGTTCCTTTCTTCTACCACAAGTCTATTCCCATTGGTTGTGAGATCTTTCTCATGAGAACTCCCTTGACCTGTACCTTACTGTATTTAGCCCCATGGGCAGATACTGATGGAAATCTAGAGTAACAGGAAGCAGGGGAATCCGTTCACTGTTTCACCATTTGTTCAGTTTCCTTCCCTTCACCCTTCTTCTCCAGTGAATGGATTCTCTCAGTGATTTCCACTACAGTTCTTCCTACCTTTTTGGGCTGCATAGGGTGTCACAAAAGCTTCTCCAAGGCAGGATGAGACCCTCTGGCTGCATGTTGCCATAACAACAGGAGGAACAACTCAAGGAGGCCATTGTCTCAGCTCCAATTGCTAAGGAGAGGATGGTGTCACCAGCGAGGTTAACCTCTCTTGGTGCCTGGTGGCACCCATCCCCGTGTGCATCTTGGCTGCCACCTCCTGATGGGAAAATGTTTTTATACAGAGCATAAACCGCTTCCTGGAGAGAGCATTATTGTCTCATTGGACAGAGTCCAGTACCAGAGGAGGCTGCAGTTTATCAGCTCTGTCCTCACCACTCCACTCAAAGTGTCTGTGCCGTCAGGGGGATTGATGGAGTTGGGAAAGCCCCCAAAACTATATAACTTGACATTAAAGAGAAGCTGTGAAGCTCTTGCAACCAAAAGTACCTTTCAGGGAGACATGCAGAGAAAACTGCTTTGTCTCTTTGGTGAATGACTTTTATCGTGAAGCTGCACAAAGCCATTACTGAAGAAAGGCACAAATTTGCTGGAGCTTGGGGGAGGGAGGAAAGGGGAATGAAACAACAACAATAAAAATAAGGCACAGGCTGCTCTCTTTTCTCTTCAGAGGCTTTTTGGAGTACCTCCTGATAACCAGGGGCAGCTGCAGAGGTGCTATGAGGAGAAGACAGTGCACATGAGGAGAAGACAGGACCCACATTTAAATTGACCTAGAGTGAGTCTGCACCAGATGGTACTCCTGGGGTATGCCTACACAACCCACCGTAATAAAGTTGCCTGGACAGCTCTTCCAAGAGTCCCTATATTACAAAGCAGTTTATTCTGTGAGGCTTAGGGCAGCAAAGAGTGGGGGCAGCCCAGCTGCTGAGCCGCAGCACGGACTGTGTGACCTCTGAAATTATAAGCCAAGCAGAATGGGAAGCAGGCCTCACTGCAGAAGTGACTGGAATGGTGTGGACAGAGCTGTTCTGGAAGTCTAGGTTGTTGCTCAGTGAGCTCAGTACTGCTGTGGCTGG